TGTACACCTGAAACTAACAATAAAAATTTTTAAAAAAAGAGTGAGCTCTGAGCAACAGCGGTTCGAGTCCTGGCCCAAGCTGAGGTGCCAACAGGTGGCATATATATATATGAAGGAAGTCTCATGATACTCTCAAAGAATAGAAAAGGCAGTCTGACTTAGTGGTTTTGCTGAAGATTCACAGCTTTCAACCTCTGGAGACCATGACTCCCTTATTATCTCCAGTGGTGATCTACCCCAGACCAGGAAGGTTAAAGTAGTAAAGGATTAAGGCCTGGCTACTCAAAGTGTGGTTCATAGCAGTTGTCGGAGAGCTCATTAGAAATGCAGCATCTCAGGCCCTTTCCAGATCTACTGAGTCAGACTCTGCATTGTAACAAACCTCCAGGTGATTCGTGTGCAATCAGATTTTGAGAAGCCCTACACTTAGGAAAATACCCACTCATTTTGTTCTTTTTTAACCCTGTAATGTTGCTGGAGTGAGGTAACCAAAGTGACATATTTAGCATCATTATGAACTCATGGGGTTTTATATATTATTTATATTGATTAGAGAAAAAGAACTTCATCTCAAAACAACAAAACCACATTGACTTCCAAGATATGAGTGTTATCAGGTAGCAAATCCATCATCGTTTTGTTGATATTCAGTTGTCAGAAGGGATGTCTCTTTCCAACCTCATTGCTGTATGAGTGCCCATCTGTAAAGCTCAAAGAGAACAACTTTCTCAGATAATGGAAAACTATTGTTCAGTCAGGCTAGATAAGAAGCAATTTCTGGTGTGGAATTTCTGGAGATGATTCTTAAGGATCAGGTTTAAAATACCATGAATACCTCTTCTTGCTGGCTTGTGAACTAGTAAAAATGAGATTGTACATCAGACATAGTAACCCAACTTGAGCAATGTTAGCTAAAAGCTGTGTATGAAACCAGTTTATTAAAATCCTTCCATTATACTGATGTGTAAGTTTTTTGTTCTTTGGTGAAAAAGAAGGTGCTTTCAAGAAGCAGTGCAGAGTTTACACTGAGTGTGGCTTTGCAGGGGACAAGGTGAATGCTGAAAGTCGATGGGTCTTCTGTCCTCCATGTTTCTTACTGTCCCAGTGCTTTTTACTCCTTTCCTGTCTTCAATATCCTGTCCCTCTTTATTAATAGCTTCTCTTACCTGCACCTACAGGAATACATTTTTCTATTTCTTTGGGATGTATTAACACTTCATTTGCCTTTGTAGTTTCTGAATGGAAAATAAGTTGCTGTAAATTTCACATAGATTTGTTTTAGATCCAAAAAACATATTTAAATTTGCCAATAGGCAGGTATCAGTATCAGTGTAAGTCCATTTACTTAGTAATATCATACATAGTCCAGAAATTTTTAGCATTTGTTGCAATCTCATTTGATTTGAGAGACATAAGCTGTTCTTATTAAATCACCAAGTATTATCAGTATTACTCAAAAGAGTGTTAATCTAAGTTTCATAAATGTGTTGCTTAAAAGGTGGGCTATCAAAATTAAGTTGATTTATATTATAACAGTGTATTCTTAAAAATTAATATCTAAGGGCTTAGGACTTTTACGAGATCTAAAAGGCTTCTTCTGACTGCTGGTTTTACAAATTATGAAACAATGAACAATGGCTAAATTGAGACTAACGAAATGCGCTTCTATACCAGTGCCGTTTTTGTGACTGAAAATGAATTTAGGAGTCAACATTTTATCTCTTCCTAGGTAGCTATTACAGATGCAAAGATAAATTGTGTCAGAACTGTCCATTTGACAAGAACATTTCCAGGGACTGACAGCGCAGCAGAGAAGTGAGGCAGAGGAGCTGATTAGTGTAGGACTTGATCCGGAGACTGTCAGTGGCCACCTGCGATCTCAGTGCTGTCGCGAGGATGAGCAGTTCACGTGAGGGTGCTTTGAAGAGCACAGAGTTCCGTATGAGGGCTGAGTTGTAGAAGAAGAGCAACATCATTTTTATCTCTTTGCCCATTTGGGGGGAGGATCAACTGGAAAGCTAAAGTTCTGAAGAACAGGGCTTGAGTTGTTTTCTTCCAGGGCCTCTACAGCATGGACTCACCACTTCTAGAATCATGGTGAGTGAGGCTCACTAGGCCTGTCTTCATCCATGCCCCCCGCTTAGCCCTCATGTCAGCAAGGAGCATCTGCCTCATTCAGGGTCATTATGATGGTGTGGCAAGCAACAAGGTCTCTACATGTAGAAGCCTAGCGGGGGCTTCTCTGAGGTGAGAATGCCTCCCGGTGGCATCCAGCTCTCCCAGGAGGGACCTAACAGCAACGTGTGGTCCTCTCTCTGGAGGCTGCTAATCGGTCCAGGTTCGTTTACTGCTGAGGATGTGGATGTGGTCCTCATCCCCTGAGGCCAAATGCTTTGGTATCTCGACCAAAGTAGGGGACTGTACATCCCAGCTCACCCATGACAGTTGTGGTTTGTGCTTGTTGTCCTAGAGTAATTATTAATAGAACTCCTTTTCACACATTCTGATTTAGGTGATAATATGGTCATTCTAATTATAAGTGGCTTTTGTGTGTTACCATTCAAGTGTTTTTCCAGTTTCACAAATCCGCAGTATTCACCCTGACTTGTGATCTTGGGTGGCAGCAGTTTTCTTTCTTTCTTTCTTTCTTTCTTTCTTTCTTTCTTTCTTTCTTTCTTTCTTTCTTTCTTTCTTTCCTCTCTCCCTCTCCCTCTCCCTCTCCCTCCCCCACCCCCCTTTGTTTCTTTCATAAGATTTTATTGGGGAATTGGGGAAGGGGAACAGCCAAGTTGTTATCCTTCAATCTTACTTGTGAAGGGCACAGCTCACTCAGCTCCAAGTTGGCAGCTCACGGCCACTCAGCTCAAGGTGCTGTATTCAATCTTAGTTGCCTGAGGGGGGGGGGGATGCCACAGCCCACCATTCCATGTGGGGGTCGAACTGGCAACCTTGTTGTTAGGAGCACGTGCTCTTACCAGCTGAGCCATCCTGCCACCTCTTGGCAGCTCAGTGGCAGCTCAGCTTGGTCGCAGCTCATTGGCCCATGTGGGAATTGAACCGGCAACCCTGTTGCTCAGAGCTTGCGCTCTTATTCAACTGAGCCACTTGCCCGGCCTGGGAAAGTTCTTATTAGAGGTACATTGTGTCTAATCTTATCTAGGGTTTTACCTCTTACAGTTTAAATAGGACCCGGTAAAAAATGCAAGAAATAATCATATGATACTCCCTTCTCCCCCACTCCCCAAAAAATCAACTTTCATATCCTATAATTACAATTACTTCACTTATATGGTAACATTTTAATTTTTTTCTTTTGGTATGATAAGATTTACAAGTGAAAATTTGCCAATTTTAAGTTTTTTTAGAAAAATGAAGGAAGACCATATTTGTTTTTATCTCACAGGCTATGTTTATCTGTCATTTAAGCTAATAGTTAATGTTTATTATACTTTGTCATTTTGATGGCTCAGAGAAATAGTCAAATATTATCTTACAGTGTATTCACAGAGATGTAAAACCTGAAAATATTCTGATAACTAAGCAAGGAATAATCAAGATCTGTGACTTTGGATTTGCACGAATTCTGAGTAAGTAGCAACTTTTTACTAACTTATCCAATTTAGATGGTGATTATGAAATAATATAGTTTAAACTCCTACTTTAGATACTGAATGTATGCTAAGTGTTATATTGTTATTATTCAAAAAGGAAAATCTCACTTTAACCTTTTGTCGCTATATTAGTTTGCACTTCAACTCCACTCCATTCAACTAGAATTCATTGGCTGTCACATTTGTATGCTTTGCCCCATAGGAGAGGAAAATTATATGATGCATTTCTGCTCTCCATGCACTTATAATCTGAAGTAAATGAAACAAAAGACTAATGCAAGATGATTAGCGATAAAGTACAAAAGGGAAGGTGCAGATGGTTCCCTGGAGGGAGATACTGATGTGGGCTAGAGTGGTTGGAAAAAACTTCATGGAGCTGGTGAAACGAGAGAGTAACAACTTAAGAGAGGATTCAGAGACAGTGCTAAGAAAACGGAAATCACCCCAGGCAGGGAGGAACCAAAGGGAAAGGGGGACAAATCAATATTTCTCCCCGAATCTAGAGCTGTGCAGCAGGCAAAAACATGTATTAGCAACATACACATTGCAAAGTGGTTATGCACATAATCTGTATCCTGATAAGACCCAGACACGGGTAACTTGACAATGCATTTGGACTTGAAGTCAAATGCACTACAGAAATTCTCAATCCCCCTGCCCTCTCTTTGAGATATTATAGATGTTCACTAGCTAAAGTGCCTTTGGAAGTTGAATTCACTGAGTGCAAATGTCGCTGTTGACTCAGTCAGCGCCTCGCTGCAGTAACTGTTAGGAGTACGTGGACTCTTGAGAGTTTTTGAAGCTTACCTGAATGCCTGACCTGCTCATGTTGGGAGAATGTGACCCACCTCATCTAATTGATGCGTTTGTAGTTCCAGGAGATGCCTACACTGATTATGTCGCTACAAGATGGTACCGAGCTCCTGAACTTCTTGTGGGGGATACTCAGTATGGTTCTTCAGTTGATGTATGGGCTACTGGTTGCGTTTTTGCAGAGCTCCTGACAGGCCAGCCCCTCTGGCCTGGAAAATCAGATGTGGATCAGCTTTATCTGATAATCAGAACACTGGGTAGGGGTTGCATTGTATGGCTTACAGCGTTGCTAAATTGTTATTATAGTAATAGCATGTCATAGTAATGAGCAACGAGAGCTTTCTTGCCTCTCCAGCCTCCTACTCAGGATCGTTGTTCTGGGTTGTAGCCAAAGCCCAACCCTTTTCTCAATTTGCAGAGCCATTGCTCCTCCCACTGAGGAGTTTCCAGATGCCTTTCCAAGTCAAGCCACTTGGCCATGGAATAAACTATACATTTGCTTTCCGTATTGGGCAAAGGTAGGGCTAAGTATATGAGTCAGCTGCATAGACCTTACTCTGAAGAGCAGATTTGATCAAATGCAATTTCTGTCCACTGTAAAAGAGGGTTTTGATTGTTATGAGATTAAATGAGATCATGTGTATAAAGCTCTCCTCACCATTTTCTTACCCTTTTTGATGGAGGCTGAATTGCAGACCTAGCTATGTGTGGCACAGAGACTTGACCTGACCTGAGAAGGTGTGTTTTTGCAGTGATGTAGTCCTCCCAAGTCTGGAAGTTAACAGTCAGGCTCAGTATTTCTTTCACACCTGGACCTCAGAAGTTAACCATTTAAAAACGATATTATTTTTACTAAACTTCTGAATTATGTGGTTTGTATTTTACAGGAAAACTAATCCCAAGACATCAATCTATCTTTAAAAGTAACCAGTTTTTCCATGGCATCAGTATTCCTGAACCAGAAGATGTGGTAACTGCTCAATTTTGGATGTTTTATTATTTGTGTTGCTCCTTTCTTTAAAGGGGTAGTTGTTTTTTTTAATATTTGTGCTTTGGGCTCCTGTTTTCCTTATGACACACTAACACAGATCAAAGAAACTATTGGGTTGTTGGAAAAGTCATGACGTATTTTTTCTATGTTTTTCGTTACAAAAATGCATCATGACTTTTCCAACAACCCAATATATAAAAGCTACATAAAATGAATCAGGAGAATGCTTATATAGTTTACTTTGATTAATTTGATTAATGTTAAAATTGATTAATCAAATTAAAAGATTAATTTGATTAATGTTAAATTTGAAGTGAAAGTATATTTAGCTCCTTACAAAAAAAAATCCTTGATCATTTTAGTCAAAACACTCGGGTACCTTTTCCTGAAATAATTCTTTTCTCATAAACAGTACTTACTGTAGTCCTCTTTATTTTGAAAAAAAATACATTCTCTGCTTTTCAGCATGTGAAACAAAGCTCACATCAGTAAAAACCATTTCTTCATAATGTACATTTTCCACATGAAAGGTCATTCTACAAAATGATCCTCATTGTATCCAAATCAAAACTCCATACTCTTGCTGTGGGCCTTGCCTTGCTTTGGGAATGTATCGATGACTACGCGACCCTCGTACTTTTTATAGACATTGATTTCCATCTGTGTTACCTAAGTTTAGGCTATGATCTTTAAAACTCCACATGGTCTAGATTCTGCCTACAGAATGAGAGGACGGTCAGGAGAGGCATGTGTCCACACTCAAGCTGCATTGGCAATGGAGTGCTGCAAGGAGGGGGAAATTCTGTAACATCATGATTTATGGCACACGTGAACAACCGGAGGGCCAAGTGGTCCCAACTGCCTCTAGACACCCTCTTCGTTTTAAATTTATTTCCTATATTACCTTGATTTATCTACTGCGTTTCTTCTGTTTGTTCAAGTTTGTTTTGTTTGTTTTTTTAAGAAATTTTATTGGGGAACAGTGTGTTTTTCCAGGACCCATCAGCTCCAAGTCAGGTAGTTGTCTTCAATCTGGTTGCAGCTCCTTGGCCCATGTGGGAATCAAACTGGCAACCTTGGTGTTATGAGCCTGCATTCTAACCAACTGCGCTAACCAGCCGCCCCTATTTGTTAAAGTTTTTAATAAATATAATAAAAGGTTAAAAGTTGAATTACAAGGCTAGAGGTTGAATTACAAAAGAATATGTAATTTAAAGACTAAAATACAACAAATCCACATGTACCTGCTGCCTACTTAAAGAAGAATGTTACCATTATCGCAAAACTACCCCCCATACGTCTCCTCAATCCCATTATCTTCCCTCCCTACTATTCTGAATTGTGTGTTTATTGTCCTATTGCTTTCTGTAGTGATCTTACACATGTTCAATGTGTAGTTCAATGTATTCCTAAGTGCTCAAAGCATCCCTATAAGTAGATCAGGCACAGATATTAGAGTACTGTTGGATGATCTCAGAAGGGGAAATTTGGAACCTACATTTACCAAGCATCAATTGCAACACATTGTGAAATTAAGAAAATAGCTCCATTTTTTGTCTTTCAAATCTTTGCATAGTGTGAAATTATGTAAAAATAGAATTTAAAATTTTTTTAAAGAATTACTAACCTACTGGAGGGGGCGGGGTCTTTCTTCAACATGTTTGTGTTACTGATATAGTCAAAACATACATTACTTTGTTGTTATGTAACATTGAAATCCTTTACTTTCTAGGAAACTCTTGAAGAAAAGTTCTCAGATGCTCATTCCATGGCTTTGAATTTCATGAAGGTACTTAAGAGTCAATCATAACATTATTGGCTACAAATTTTAATGATTGAAGCTGGGAACTCTGGGAGGGGTGGACAGTAAGGCAAATATAGTGCAAAGGTGGGATGTCATCGCTGAAGCAGTGATCTTTCTAACATACCCATTAAAATCAGTAGAAGATGAAAGAGTGTAATTAGGGTTTGCTGTGATGAGCACAATTACTTCTTTTACATTCATGGGGAAATTGACTAAGTATATTCAGACTATGGAAATTAGGAACATGAATGTACTCCTTAAGTGTGAAGATCTAGAACTGTGCTGTCCAGTATGGTAGCCACTGCATGTTACTGTTGAACACATGAAATATGGCTAATTTGAATCCAGATATACTAGATTTCTATGAAAATCACTCTAAAAAGAGTATAAAATAATCATTAATAATTTAAAATATTAATGTTGAACTGATAACATTTAGATACATATGGAATTAAATAAAATTTTTAATTATTTTTTAAAAAATTAGTAGAACACCAGGTAAAGTAGAGCCAAATAGACACCATATATAGGCCATGCATGAGGCCTAAAAGAGATAGTCAAAGGACAAATTCTAATAAAAAGTAGAAGAAACTCAGCTATGACCAGTCTGGCTTTTATGCCTGACAAACTGAGGCCATACTGTGTGTGACTCATCTATCCAAAGTGAAGACTAAAAGCCCTTAGGGAGATAAGGCTGGAGATACCAGTAAGGGTATCTAATTTTCATAATCAATTAAGTTCTATTTATAGCAGCGGTTTCCATACTACTCATCAGAATGACTTGGGAGCTTTTTAAAAACACACATTCCAGTATCTAACATCAGATTACAGAATAGAGTCTCTATAAATAGGACCTTGGGATTTGTATCATTAAACATCCCCCTAGGTCAGGGGTCGGCAAACTTTTGAGACAGAAAAGCCAACCCTGTCCCTCACAACAATTTAAAAATTATTTGAGAGCCATAAAACAAATGAAATCACCATTATATGAATAATATCCTTTAAAATTTTTATAAGTGAAACTATGATAGTTTTATTTTCGTTTTCAATTTTACTTCAAAGCCACATGTACGCACCCAAAGAGCCGCAAGTGGTCCGCGAGCCGCAGTTTGTTGACCGCTGCCCTAGGTGACTGTGATAAGTAGCCCTGTTTGAAACCATCTGATCTAGAAGGGGGAGCCACCTGGATGACCTAGAGTCAACTTGGTGCTACTGCTGGTCGCTGCCGAGGTGCTATCCAGGGTGCTGGATTCCTTCAGTCTTAGTCCTGAAAGTCCAAGCCTGAAACCTCTGCTCTCCCAGACTGCCCTGACCACGACTCCACTGGACCTCAGCTGCCTTCTACCTGCCTCACTGCTCTGACCTGCCTTAACCCAGGACTCTGCAGGTCCTCTCCTGGAAGCCCAATTTCCTGACCTTGTTCTGGACAGGTTGTTCTGACCCACCTACAATTTAACAAAACCCAGGGCATGGGGAAGTGGAGGAAGATGTCAAGCACTGCTGCAAGCCCAACCCATTCTCAGGTGGAGGCCAAGCCTTCCTCTGGTTTCTCCTTCAACTAACCAGAGAGAAAACTTCCTAGAAGGCAACTCCAGGGCACAAAAACTCCAAGGTGTAGAACAAACTCCCTATCCTTATCTCCAAAGGTGAAGTGCGCCGTTGGCCTGCTCAGGATTCTGGGTGAAGCTAGTTTTGTCATTCAACTATTTGATTTAGACCTGTAGAGTTTGACCTGAGACCCAAGAAGTCTAAGTTCATCAAGGATTATGCTATTCCGTGGGACACACCCTATATCCTAGATTCCTGCCCCATGTTATTATAGATGAAGGCAGGCCTTCTTTCATTAATTGCAAATTAGACATCTTTAACAACAAATAATTACCCGCTACCATAACAGGTAGTTAGTTAGCCTATGGGACTGGGTTCTGATCTATAGAGAGAACTAACTGCTCAAGTGGGTGAAGTGCCAGCCAATGACAGTGCCAAGGACAGTGGTGGCGTGCAGTGGCCTGTATATGGCAGATCTTTTGTGTTCTCTTCTTTAGGTTTAAAATGAGACAATGGGTACAGTACCTATTTTTTTTATTACTCATTAGTTTTTATAGTCATAACCATCCTATCACTATATCAGTTTTATCTGGTCATTAAGAAGACTGTGGACTGTTAGAAATTTTGTTACAGAGCTTTCTGTGAAATTTGAAGTTTCAAGAAAAGGAACCTGACTTGGACTTTGCAGTTCCAATTTCTCATCCCAGGTTAGGAGCACTTTGATCAGGGAGCACCTCTGAGAAGTCTTCAGCCTCTCTGTGTACAGAAAGTCATCAGTCAGGCAGTCAAGATCTCAGAAGCCTCCACTCCATCCAGTTCTCAGTGCACCTACAACTAATCACGCGGGACGTTGTTCCAGCCCCGCCCTGTGGAGGAGCTCAGCTTGAACAGTCTTTTCTTAGAATCTAAAAATGCTCTTTTAAAAAAACCCATAGGTATTTAGTGATAGACTAGATTTCAATAAACCAAAAACCTATACAAGGAAGTAAATTGAAGATATAAGTGGAAATAAAACTGATAGGACTTGATGATTTCGATCTGAGGAGTGAAGTAGAGGAGGGTGGCAAAGAGGGAGTGCCTGCATTCATTTCCTAGGGCTATTGTACCCAAGTACCAGAAACTGGGTGACTGAAAATAACAAATTCATTCCCTCAATTGTGCAGACTAGAAGTCTACAATCAGGGTGTTGGCAAGGCCATGTTCTCTCCAAAGCTTCTAGGGGAGGATCCTTCCTGGCCCCTTCCAGCTTCTGGTGCTCCCCAGCATTCCTGGGCTTGTGGCAATAGAGCTCCAGTCTCTGTCTGTGTCTTCACATGGTGTATGCTCTGTGCGTCATTCTTTGCATTGTCTTCCCTCTTATAAGGAGACCAGTCATATTGGAGTAGGTCCCACCCTAGTCCAGTATGATACCATGTTAATTACATCTGCAAACACCCTACTTCCAAGTAAGGTCCCATTATGAGGTACTGGGAATTAAGACTTCAACAAGCATTTGAGGTGGGGAGGGGAAACAGTTCAACCTATAACAGTGCCCTTGAGACAGAGCAGAGAGAGATTAAGGAGACCATTGCATATGTGAGTCTGGAGTTCAAAAGAGAGGTCTGAACCAGAAATATACATGTAGAAGTCTCTGGTGAACACTGACCATTGAAACCATTGAGCATCAGCAAGATTAGCTAGAAATTTAGAACAGATGAAAAGAAAGGGGAACCTAGGATTGAGTCTTGAAGAATTTCATGCAACCATTGTGGAGAAGAAGGTTAATAGGACAGGTTGGTTTGAAAAGGAGTGGCCAGGAAGTAGGAATGAAAATGAGGCATCAGGAGCCAAAGGGAGAGTTTCAAGAAGGAAGGTGTGGTCAGTAGTATCTAACATGACTGGGATGAGAATGCAAAATATGGAAGTAGATTTAAAGATATGAAAGTAGAGGTCATAGGTGTGACTAGCAAGAGCCACTTAAGTGGAATTTTGGAGGCAGAAGCCAGAATGAAGTTATGAAGAAATAAGAGACTACCACAGTTATTAACAAGTTGTAAGTACTGGATAATATACAAACTTGAAGTACTTCTAAACTCATATTTGCTCTATCACGATGTTATTCCGTTTTGGAGCACAGTAACAAAAAGGCCCCTCTTTCAGTATCTTCTTTGCTTTTGTTCCAAAGGAGTGTCTGAAGATGAATCCAGATGACAGGTTAACCTGTGCCCAACTCCTGGAGAGCCCCTACTTTGATTCTTTCCGAGAGGACCAAATTAAAAGAAAAGCACGTAATGAAGGAAGAAACAGAAGACGGCAGCAGGTACCTCCGTTCAAAAACTAAAGTGCTATAAAAAAATTTTTTTTCCTTTTTCTACTTTTACAAGTGAGACTAGGTGGATACCAAGACCTTATCTTTGCACTGGTTTAGTTGTATTTGTTTACCTAATAAATACTGGTGATTGATGTGATAAAATCATAAAACTATGAAAATGTCTAAACTGTTACAAAATCTTATTATACTTAATATATACTTAAATCAAATATACTTAAATCAAATGATTGCACAACGCTTTTGTTACACTGATTGAATATCCCACCCACCAGATCATGTACCCCAAATACAACAGCTTCATAAAACTCTGATTACAGCGGGACGGGGTTTAATTGGTATTGGCGAGGAATACCGTACCTTTCTGTAGCCTCCAGATGCACAATAAAGGAAACCAGACTCTTAATGTCTTTTCACCTGGGCAGGCACCTAAATCTGCCTTTCCCAGATTTTTTTCTCAAAGCCGAGGACAACTCCGGCCAGATACAAAGGGATGAAATTCAGACACCTGGGAACCAAATCCTATTCTCGAATGTGCCAATATTACAGAAAAATATGGTGACTATGATGACAGACATTAATTCTACAGTTTATTAGGCTACTGCTCTTTACTTGCTTTTAGAAAACTTTGAAGTTTAAACATAAACTCCATGGAAGTAAGTTTGTTTGGGTGTTTCCCCCCCACACCCATCTTATATCCCCAGCACCTAAAACAATACCTGTCACATAGAAGGTATTTAATAAATGTGATCCAAATAAATAAATAGATGAACACTGCTTATTAGTAAGTCAAGTTGGCAATTTTTTATTTATCAGCGACTCACAATTGTTTCATTTGCATTTGCTTAATCTTCAACCTTGGATCTACTTTTTGGTCATTTATCTTCTCATTAGCATGTCATCATAAAGGAAGGAAGCAGTCTTTTTTTTTCTTTAGCCATTTGATAGTTAAAATAGAAGTTTGTTGGGAGAAAAAGATCAAACTAATCAATAAAAAGAAATATTAAGATGATTCTGTGTATCCCAAATCTCTGGGTCTCCAAATTTTTATTACATAGACCATTTTACCTTTTACTGTTAGTTATGTGTTTTGCAAGTTAAGCCCAATACAGTTTACTTAAATAACCAAAAGATTCAGGTGTGTTTAAATAAGTCTGAGGCAGCAATCTGAAATACAGCGTGAACTGTGTGTAAAAACACTATCCCCTTCAAAAAACATCTCACCAGATTCCTCACCTTTGGCCTGGGAGGGTGGGGCAGTGTCACTGCTCCTTCCTGCCTCTTTGTCCCCAACCAGTTCTCCCACTCTCACTCGAGCATGTGGATAGCCTTATGTCTCCGGCTGGCAACTGTGCTCCCTCCCGTTCCTTGATACCCTGTAGCCCACTGATAAAGATCAGGGACTTGACAGAAGACCTTCCCAAAGACCCAGGACAACAGAAGGAAAAGAAACATGAAGAGCAGCATGCACCTGGATACTCTCGTTTGCAAGATGATGTCATTTTCTGTCCATTGTCAACGATCTTCTGTCCACCTCTGTGCAGTAGCCCCACTAGAGCACTCACCATGAGACGATGCCTAGGCATTCTCTCCGCCGGCAGAAGTTTCTAGAGAGCAAGGCCAAGAGAAAGACAAGTGTCTTTCAAGTTCTGGTTTTCTTTCTGAGCGTGCACTTCCTCCCTAGACATTTTACCCTATCAGAAAATAAACTAAAAATTGAGAAAGATCTTTTCATTCAGTGTGGTTCCATTTTGTAAATTCAAATTTCTATCTAAATACCAATTTCTAGATTTCTGAATGGATGATCAACAAATTCCTTAAGATTAAATATTGTTTAAAGCTGATAAGAGGTTTTAAATCTTTGCTGTCCTGCCAATATCCTAAAATTAATATCCAAAAATTAAAAATTTGAGATGGGTAGAATGTAGACTCTTGGAATTATCATTTAATAGCTGGTGGGCATCTATCTTTTAAACACTGACTAGATATTCAGAAATTTGTATATTCATATACATAATAGTATATCCATGAGAATCCTAGAATAAGTAATGGAACCTAATTTTCAAGTGTCACAATATTCATAATTTTTGGAAAGGTAACCCTGCTTAATTTTAACATTGATTTCTGTTGACATCTTTGTACCATATCCTTTGGTACCACCTTTAAATCACACTGTACAAATAGGAATTGTTTTCAATTTACTTTCTTATTTTTGTCTTGTTCTGCTATTAGAATCAACTGTTGCCTCTCATACCAGGAAGCCACATCTCCCCCACACCTGATGGAAGAAAACAAGCCCTCCACTTAAAATTTGATCATCTTCCAAACATTTAGGAAAATGTTCTTTCATGTGGAAAGTAATTTAATATGTACACATTTTTGTACAAGACAGATAGGAATTCTCAGTGTTTCAAATGCAAATGAGCCATATGAAAATTAAGATGCCTTTCTAGAATTGTTTTTGCTCTGATCATTACTGATTCCTCTGCCCGTGCTTTTCACATGCCAACTTTATCTTTCAGAACATTTTCTTTAAATGTTATAAAGTCTGAAACTGCACATATGGAGGAGACATTTTCAATTTCATCAGAGCAGCCCTTCTTGAGGCAATTTATATTGAGAATTTGTGGGCTTGCTATACTTTGATTTATGAAAAAGATTTGCATATATCATCTGGCTTCAACTGACCACATAATGTCTTAGAGCAATCAAATAGCTTGCCTAGCTGTTGTTTGTGTAAGGAATGACATTATATTTCTGCATTTTAATTCACTCTTATTGTAACCAGGTCTGTTGAGTGATACTGATATTTTATACTGTGTTTTTATATTGGTGTAGGAAGGGAACCTTGAAATGTCATTTAGGCTTATTCCTTGATTCCAGGGCAGACTCTAATTTCTCTGTCTCGTGAGACGTTGATAATTCCATTTTTAAAGCTAGTGAGAGAAAATGCCATACGCTTACATAGCAGATAGTGGATGAACTGCAAGGAATTACCATCCTCATAATATGCTAGAATAATTGACTGCTGATTCTAATGCTGTCCTTTGGTACATCATGGCTTCTTATCCTTTTCTCCTCCTGGCTAAATCATCTCACTACCTAAACCTATCCTCCTGGGTGTATTTTCTAAAAGGTTTATTATCAACAGTCTCTTCCAAACATTTGCATCCATAGCCTCTATGAACTTGTGCAGCCCTAAACTTGTGCATCATGATCAGGTCAGGCTTCTAAATGTTTCTGAGAGCAGGAAGATTATCTTTCTGTTAGCCTTCTTTTGTGTCTCTTACCAAAAAGAGAAGCAAACAAACAAAACACTTCCATAGGTGATCCCAATTTACATTGGGTATTTTCCTAAGTAGACTTGACCAACAATACCTACCTACATACATACATACGTGTGTGTGTGTGTGTGTGTGTGTGTGTGTGTGTACGTACACATATATTTAATTATAAATTTTGAAGCACTATAATAGATGACTTTTATCCTGGACATCTAAGAATGACACAGAATGTTTAGAGTATTTTTCGTTTGCTAATAAGGAACTCATAAAATAATAGCATGGATCTGTCCATCACGGTCTGGCATAAAGACACAAAATGGTGATGTTCCTATCCGTAAATATTAAGAGTATTTCACTAACTCTTTTCTGCTCTTCGGTTTGATGTGCTCACTGAACATTGTCAAATTTTGCAAATACACATAATTCCAAAAATTCTTTGTATCTGGCCCCAGACAGCAAGCAGAAATTGTTTATAAGGAAACACAATAACACCTAATATTCATCTCTAAAAGTTTATTGCACTTATAAACCTGGCTATGTAAATTTCCAGAGAATTTCATTCAGTTATTAGGAAGCATCTCTTTACTAAGGAATTGTGGCATCTAAGCAATAGTTCCTTGCCCACTGGAAGGACATTCTAAGTGGGCTTATTTGGCCATTTAACATTCTGAGAATGAATATAAGCTGTTAGGTACTTCTTATTTTCACCGCACTATTGAGAATGTGCCTCTTCAGATTTGTTTCTTGCATTTTTAGTAAGATGGTACCACAGGTGCAAGGAAAATGAGAAATAAAAGATAAAAGGGAACTTTGCTGAGAGATTTCTTTTTAGCTTTCATTGTGTTTTTATCATGTAAGCCTTCTTTTCTTATTGCCAAACCACTCATGCTGCCCCAGCTCTCCCAAGTATGTATAATACATATATAATACACACACATACACACACACACACACACACACACAGAAAGTAAGAAGACAGCACAAAACTCCCTTGCTCATTTTGCTTAATTATAATTGTGCTTCAAACAGTAATGGGGTTTGGGGCATATGTTAATAGGGTGACTGTCTTCCCTAATTTTTGCTTACGTTTGAGAATTAATTCAAACTAGCATTTCACAATTGTTTTTCCTTAGATCTATCACTTAGGTCTCATTGGAGAGGCGAAAGCATCTAATGCTTAGAAAAATGTTCTGATGCAAGCATATCACCACAAAGTAAAAAAACAATGACATTTGCATACTTGACTTGCCCTGGGTGACCCAGGCCACGTAGCTTCTGCTGCATGAATCACCCAGGCGCACAGATCTCAGACAGCAACCTTTTCCTGTTTCCAGTGCATATTTCTCACCACTGCACTACACAGAATCCCTTGCATTCCTCAGCCACATGGAAGACAGTTGCACTTCAGTGTCTAGGACCCAAATTAAGTAATGATTTGTAGAACTTACCCTCAGCAAATAGTTTTGCCCTAGGCTCCTCACAGAAGCCCACACAATTCTGTAAACACTCCTTTCCTTCACAGTCTTGTATAGTTTCTGGCTTACCTGGGACTTGTGCCACCTGTGCCAGCTTTCCAGCTGTTTCATTTATTTATATAGCTTTTTTTTTGGTGCTGTCCAAATACCGCGCCGTCAGGGTGAGCAATGCCACGTGAATACTTCCTTTTCTCCACTTCTGCATGACCTCTGTGCTCCCTGGTTTTTTCCAATTTTCCGCGCGTGGACCTGAGAGTCTCCAAGCTGTTTTGTTTGTTTGTTTGTTTGTTTGTTTGTTTGTTTGCAGAACACTTTGCAGGGAGTTAAAAATGCAGACTTCACTTCTTCTTAGTGCCCCTGCTGCTTGGGGAAGAAGAAAACGCATCATAGAAAAGGACATTTAATTAGACCTGTATCAGCCCCGTAAGCCTATTTGCTTGGACTGTCTTTAGTTTCCATTTCAGTCCTGGTGATATTTGAATGTAGTCATTGTTCCAACTTGCCCCAACCACAAAGCCCTTTTGGAGGGTCACTTTTTGAAGATTGTTTTAACTGGACTGAAGCACTGAAAAGTTGTGTTCAAGAGGCTTTTGAATGCTTTGGATTAGGGAGATGATTGAGGAGAGGGTGAAAACAAGCTCTCAGGCAGGGATTGAAGAGCTGAGTGGGGCATAGGTGTCCCCTCTCCTAAATTAGCTGTGTCACTGCTCTTCATTGCTCCTGCAGATCCCCAAACTACAACACCTAAGAAAAGTAACAAGTTATTTAGCTTGCTTGCCATAGAATTACAATTTTTTTCAAAAAGATGACAATTTCTTAGTCATTTGTCACCACCAATGATGTCCAATCATGGTTTTAGAACAAAGGGCACAAATTCACCCACCCACCCCAAATTTTAAAACATACTACCAGAAGAGGAATGATCCTAAAATTTCACAAAATAGTATAATCTTGAAAAAATTGAGGTGTCTGTGTAGATATTAGCTGAATCACAACTATACAGATTTTTTTAATGCATACAGTTGAGGCATAAAGATAAAATGTCACAAGTTAAAGTAATGTTCTCGGTATGTGTATGTGTGTTTGTCTTTGATTAAAATCATTAACTTAGCAACTTCATTCTTGTTTTAGTAGATGACTAAAAGTCTTTAAGATTGGTAGTTTAGAGAATAATAGAAATACTATTTGGCCTGGAAGTTAGGACACCAGGTTTTAGGCCTGGCTTGCCACTCTTTAGCCTTGTCATGACGTGTAACTTTTCTGTGCCTTCATTTTCTTGTTGTAAAATAAGAGAGTAGATAAATTAGATGGTCTAAGGATCCCCTTCAGCTCTAAAGCTCTGTGATTCTCTATAGCACGTGTCCTGGACACATGTCCCACTAGA